TCCTAGAACTCACACATGAAGATATTGAACTCTATTCCCAATTCCTTAATTTTTCTTTCTTGACTTTCCGTTTCTTGCGCTTTTCTACTGTTATAATTGTCACTAGAAGCGTCAAAGACACTATTGGGGTTCTTGAAAAGCCATGAATCTCTCTGGTCTTAAATATGATGAAAGTTTATATAGAATGAAGGCTCTAAATATTCAAATGAGTGTTCACCTCAAAAATTTTACTAGAAGAGGTTGCTTTGATCCTCAAATATCTTCAAATCAACCATCTGGACGTCAAGATCCATGGACATGAGAAAAAAATAGATTTCACGTTTTGAAAATAGTGCATCTTGTAATGCATTTTTAAACTGCCAATTTTTAAGATTTTCAAGTTTTCATAGATCTGTTCGATCTACACTATTTTTGAAAATTTAAATTTTATAATTAAAGATGAAAAATATATTTTAAGGCCATTACAAAGATTTCCCGTATTAAAACAACTTTTATAGATACTATTTAAAGGTTTCCTTCATTTTTTGGTTTTATTTTATAATTAGTAAAGAAAACCTTTCATTTATTGTCAAAGTGTTGAAACCCTTTATTTCTTTCTTTTAATGTTCCCGAATCCTCAAATCCAGATCTTACTCTTTCCTTTTTACAAGTAGGTCAATCTTTTCTTTACTTCCTCTCTCTCTCTCTTAACCAAATGACACCATTTCACTTTCTCTCTCTTCTCTCTTCTTCTTTCTCCCTCTCTTTCGCCATTTTTTTCCAACATGATAAACCGGCTTGGAAGTTTCTAATCTCATGTGGTCCATATATGACCACTTATACTTTTCTTTTCCCCAAGACTCAATAATTTTGTAGGAGGAAGCACCCTTCCTGGTCAATCCTATCTCCATGTCCCTCTTGAAGGGTTAGGTCATCCTCCACCCACCACAATAAACGGAAATTAAGTACACTGTGCTCCTTTGGGAGAATAATTTACTTCTAGTCCCTCAATCACAAGACCTACTTTTGAAGCAATTTTGTCCATCTGGAATTTTCGAAGTCAGTTAAGAATTATTAGATAATTATTCTTAAAACTAAAATTGAAAATTTGAGTTTTTTAACGGTTAGATCTCAACATAGCAAAATTAGATGGTTCATATTCAATCTTGAGACATTATTTTTTCAAGTACATAGAGGGTACTATTAGTAAATTTTTTATTTAAATTAATCTATAGGTTGAAGAGGTTATGTCCTGAAAATTTGGGATCATAAAATTAATTCTAGATGGAGGTTTGACCTATGGGAGTAAATTAACATCATACTCCCAAGGAAGTATATTGTCTCTTGGCTTAAGCTAATAGGGAATCTAAATTCCCTTGCCAAATATTAAAGGGCAAGCTTTATGTGCTTCATCTACAACATAAAACTTATATACTTCCCCTTATCCTACCATCCATTTCGAATATTTTTTCTACAAACTATTTTAAACATCAAATTTTGTACGTCCAATCCTATAGTAAACTCGCACTAGCAAAAAATATAAAAAAATATTTCCAATAAATTAAAATGAACAAAATACCCCTGAAAAATTCAAAGGGTATTTTGGTCATTATATTTTATCGAAAAATTAGTTCTAATATTTTTTACAAGGGTGCCCCAATGAAAAGATGACACGTATCAAATTTCATATTCATACAATTTGTATAAAAAAAACTAAAAATAAAATACTTTGAGACGTCGGATCTAAGATCAAAAGGTGAGTGACTGTCTTGATCAAAATTGGATGGCTGGATGGTAGGAGAAACATAGATCTTCTATGCTGTAGGGGAAGCATAGAAACCTTTTCCAATATAAAAAGGGTGTGGTTTCTGTAATGTTGCAACTTTAAACAATCCAATTAAGGCGCACCTTAAATTTCATCATAACATGCAATTTTGTTGTAAAAAATTCTTGGTATTATCTTAAAATCTATTTTTATAATTAAAAAATTTTAAATTTCAAAAATTGTAAAAATCAAGTGGATCTATAAATATATGAAAATATTGAAAATGGACGGTCTAGATAACGTGTTGCAAGACAAGATGCCCTATTTCCAGAGATTCAAAAGCTTTTTTTTTTTTCATATTCATAGATCTCAATGTAGAGATGATTGATTAGAGAGCTTTTTCAACATTAAAATACCATTTCCGATAGATTTTTGAGGTGAATATGTGATTCTACATTTTGCAACCTTATATAAACTTTTCCCTTTATAAAAATCTTAAGCTCAAAAGAAATTTTTCTTTTGAGCGTGACCATCACTGCAATTCTTTATGTGATTATGGCGATCTTTTGTGTTTTTTTGCTCTCTCCATTAGCACTTATATCATGCACCTGTGGGACCAAAATATACATTTACTCACTTATGTAAAGCGTTTGAGAGGACTTTTTTTAATGTAAAATTTTGTGATCCATATCTGAATCACCCAAATATTCCTTAAAAAAAAAAACAAAAAATGGAATTTTGAGTTCCAAAAACCTAACTACTTAGATTTGACCGTTCATAAATTATCCAATCTCTATTTGATACAAGAACATTATTCTTCTTTTTGAAGTATGCCTATAAATTTCTTCTTTTGAGGTTGGTCACTTAGTTGAGAAGACTATGCCCCAAAATTTTGGGCATTGAGAATTGCCCTGCAGGGTAGTGAATCTCCAAAATGCTCCCGCAGGGACATAACATCTTTTGATATTTCCTTTCAAGAGTAAATGAAACATAAAACAAAGGGTAAAATGACAAATAACGCCTATCCTATGATTAGACTTTTCATGTAAGTTACCCGATCAAACTTTTTTTTTTACTTTTTACT